TGACAGATATGGCATGCAGCTGTGGGCAGCAGCCATGATAAATGTCAGATGACTCAGATGATGTTGGAAGGCAGGGCCGGCCATGCCACACATTGCAGCGCATTAAGCTTTCTCCACCAAATTCTGATGTTGACCTGCATGATCTGATGGTAGTCTAAATTGATGATCAGATGGTAGGAGGCAGGGCTCACACAACAAGCACTGCTTAGCATGAGCTCTGATCCCATAATCCATCCATGGGAAAATATTTGGATTAAATCTTGAGAATGTATTATCAGCAATGTGGAGATGCTGGGCAATGGAAAGGTTTGTGTTGTGAGGTTGAAACCTTTAGGCATGCCAGAGCTATGCTACATTGTCTCATTACATCATATTTTGCACTTGTTTTAGTTGGTCAAACCCTTTCAGACCAGTTCCCATGCTTTGCACCATGCCTTTGAAGTGGGAAATGTTTCTGGATAAGGGCATGACAACAGTAGCTGTGGACGCCATGCATTTCACATAATTGAAGCATTATAACATCAAGCAGTGATGTAGTGGCCCAACAAGAAGACCAGATTCATCATTTATATTAAACACAGCTTAGGAAGATTAAGCTTTTTTGCTGGGGAATTTAATCTAGTGCTCAACACCATTTTTTTGTGCACACACAATACACAAGTTCAGTTGAATTCAGGCCCATACTGTGATTGGTAGCATTCCAGTCTCAGACACCAAGTCTATTTTTATTCCAAGGTAGGATTTTGTCCAAAATGGCACCTGACAGTAGGCCTTGCATAATTACACCTCAGCAAAATCAATGAAAGGAAGATCAGAAAATATGTCCAGTACCCTCTCAAAAATTGTGGCTTGTTACAGCTAAAGTAAAAATGTAGTATCCATTCATTCTTTAGTGTCATATGCAGTTAACCGTCATGGGCTTGATTTATTTCTGCAAATGCTTGATATTCCTTGTGTTGCAATCAACAACTGAGATAGCTGTGCTCAGTGTCCAGTGTTCACACCAAGCTGATGGCCATGCTTTTCATATTGTTAATACCCATGTTGGGGAATCAACCATGCAAGTAGTGTCCCATGAAGTATGTGCTGTGCACAACTCTCTGATGCAATGGTCATTCCAACTGTTGTTTTTTTCAGGAACAGTGACCTTGGATGCTTCCAGATGTCATCAATTGGCAATCAGGTAAGTGCTAACATATCATATACCACCCTGGAACAGACTCAGAATCATCTCAGCAAACTGTGTCGTGTAGACCGTAACGTATCAGGCCGAAATCCCGACATAGACTGAAATCAATGGAAATTTAGTATTTTGTTGAATTCCAAGCCGATTTTACCAAAATGGTTCAAAATTGGGAGTCCGAAACGGTCCCATTAAAAGTTTTAACGTCCATTAAAAATATTTTCTCTGAAAATCTTTAGTTTGAACTTTAAATTTGCAATTTGGAATTGTAGTTAGAAAATTACTTGTCCAGAGTAATGACATTTTGTACTGCGAACTGAAACATATACGGATCACGTCCTGCCGCGACCTCAGCCGTTAGCTGATCTTGCGCTAGGTGCGTCAGTTCCACGTGTTTTTTCGACACAAAACTATTGTGAGTTGCCCGAAGAGTCGAGCGAATTTGCCCCCTGATTTTGTGGCTCCGTTTGTGAATCAGAAGCGTGTCACTTTGCGATTTCCTGAGGAATGAACTGGTAGTTAAAGATTTTGTTCGCGATTTTTTGTGGCGCCAATTACGCTATATATTGTATTTGCCCTAGGTGGTTGTACTGAGATGATTTGGACCACGAGCTCTTGGCATATCCTTAGGAGGCAAGCGTCTTAACCTTCAGCTTGTATGATGCGGCAAAAAAGTCGCAAAAGTTGCAAGATGAGAGGAAGGTGCTTGCTGGGGGTGCTATAAATACCAAGGCAAATAGCTTTGAATTCTCATATACCATCGAAGTGCAGAACACTAGACAATACTCTCGGCAGCTTCACTGCCGAGAACATTGTCGTATCGACAGGATTATATCATATCAATAACGACCGGGAGCATTTTGGGTGGCACTGGGGACTGCGGTTGGGCCCACGAGATAACACCGTTTGTTGTACACAAATTGAGCAGTAAACGTGCGGCACGGGAGTCCGTAACGATTTCAGCTGCTGGAATGCATTATTTAGGACACCTTTTATTTAGCTTCGATCGTCATGAAACCTTCGCTATTCGATATGAAATAGTTGCTTTCTTATCTCGGCTCCAAAAGTGGGGACCCTAGGTCACAGCGAAGCTGATCAATATCGCCACATTTCAAGATTGTTGCTTGAGTGTATCATTTAGTCTTTACCACCTGCTCAGCTGCTGAGACTGTATGGCGTACAGACAATAGATTTGTCAGATCCGACCGATCAAATCTCCACCAAAATAGCGACTAACTCAGGTCAGTGTGGTTTGTTTCGCCACGTTCCAAAATATTTGCTTGCAGACAGCTCAGCTTGTGTGCTGTCCGCACGGATGATTTCTTAGAACTGAGTTGTCTGCAAGCAAGACTTTTGAAATTGGGCGAAGTTGGCGTCTTTGATTGGACCTAGGATCACCATTTTCGGAAGTGCTAGAGGGTCTCAACCATTAGGCATCGAATGGTGGATGGGCGCGGCGATCTGTCTGCATGGCGACCTGCGTTGTGTGGAGTTCTCCCGGTTCTCATTTTATGGTGGCCTCTTATTAGTTCACATGCGGTGTTCTTGGATATCAAACAAAATGTGAGTACGCGTCTTTTGTGCAGTCCTCCATTTGCATTTTATCATGTGGAATCACGGGATATGGAACGTCGTTTGGAACTCGTGTCAGTTTGCTGATTGTTTCTCTCCTCGTTTGGTTTTTCAAGCGTGTGCGCATGTGTTTTATCAGCTGACTGCTGCTCCGGCCACGTGATCAGGTGTCAGAGGATGTTTGTGTGGGCTGACCGCTGCTTCGGCCGCGTGGTCAGGCGTCAGAGGATATTTGTGTCGGCTGACCGCTGCTCCGGCCGCGTGGTCAGGCGTCAGAGGATGTTTGTGTGGGCCGTCTGCTGCTCCGGCCGCGTGATCAGGCGTCAGAGGATATTTGTGTCGGCTGACCGCTGCTCCGGCCGCGTGATCAGGCGTCAGAGGATGTTGTGTCGGCTGTGGGCTCCGGCCGCGTGATCAGGCGTCAGAGGAGGTTTGTGTGGGCTGATCGCTGCTCCGGCCGCGTGATCAGGTGTCGGAGGATGTTGTGTCGGCTGTGGGCTCCGGCCGCGTGATCAGGCGTCAGAGGATGTTGTGTGGGCTGATCGCTGCTCCGGCCGCGTGATCAGGTGTCGGAGGATGTTTGTGTCGGCTGTGGGCTCCGGCCGCGTGATCAGGCGTCAGAGGATGTTTGTGTCGGCTGACTGCTGCTCCGGCCGCGTGATCAGGTGTCGGAGGATGTTTGTGTCGGCTGTGGGCTCCGGCCGCGTGATCAGGCGTCAGAGGATGTTTGTGTGGGCTGATCGCTGCTTCGGCCGCGTGATCAGGTGTCGGAGGATGTTTGTGTCGGCTGTGGGCTCCGGCCGCGTGATCAGGCGTCAGAGGATGTTTGTGTGGGCTGATCGCTGCTTCGGCCGCGTGATCAGGTGTCGGAGGATGTTTGTGTCGGCTGTGGGGCTCCGGCCGCGTGATCAGGCGTCAGAGGATGTTTGTGTGGGCTGACCGCTGCTTCGGCCGTGTGATCAGGCGTCAGAGGATGTTTGTGTGGGCTGTCCGCTGCTTCCGGCCGCGTGATCAGGCGTCAGATGATATTTGTGTCGGCTGACCGGTGCTCCGGCCGCGTGGTCAGGCGTCAGAGGATATTTGTGTCGGCTGACAGCTGCTTTGGCCGCGTGGTCAGGCGTCAGAGAATGTTCGTGTCGGCTGACTGCTGCCTCCGGCCGCGTGATCAGGCGTCAGAGGATGTTTGTGTCGGCTTGACCGCTGCTCCCACCGCGTGATCAGGCGTCAGAGGATGTTTGTGTCGGCTGACCGCTGCTCCCACCGCGCGGTCAGGCGTCAGAGGATGTTTGTGTCGGCTGACCGCTGCTCCCACCAGCGTGATCAGGCGTCAGAGGATGTTTGTGTCGGCTGACCGCTGCTCCCACCGCGCGGTCAGGCGTCAGAGGATGTTTGTGTCGGCTGACCGCTGCTCCCACCGCGCGGTCAGGCGTCAGAGGATGGCTGAGCCTGCCGGCGACTGGGACAGCACGGACGAGTTTGTGATCCTGACCGAGACGAGCGACGCCGACCCGCGGCTCAGCCTGCCCGGCGCCGGCGGACTGCCCACAGCTCATGGACGACCTGCACGACTGCATTGCCGACGCCGAGGCCGTCGTGGCGTCCGACAGCGGCGCTGGCGGCGACGGCTGCCCGGCGCAGACCCCCGCCGCCGCCCCCGCCGCCCCCGCCGCCCCCCGCCGCCCCCACCGCCCCCGCCACAGCCGGCCCCGCCACAACCGCCCTCGCCCCAGCTGCCACGGACGACGACGACAAGCCGAGTGATGGTACGACGGCGGCCGGCGCCTGCGGTCGCTAGGACCACAGCGACACGGGCTGCATGGGCCCTTCGCCTTGTGCTGTATTGTGGCGTAATGCACAGCATTGAGGATTTATATAGTGTGCTAACTCCTGTGGTCCGCCTGCAATAGTGGGTCGATGCCGGTGTGGTGTCGATACATTAGCGGTATGGCATATGGTGTGGCAGGCGTGGCATATTGTACTAGGATCTATTAGGCGTGTCCATAGCAACCATGGCCGTACTGAATCCGGCTGGTATGCAGATGAAGGCTGGTCATGCGCCGGTCGTCGTGGCCGGCCCTGTGCGGTGTGCTCACACCACGGCCAGGCCCCGCTGCCGGGCCGGTGACGGCGCCGCGGCTCGCTGTGAGGACGGGCGCGGCCAGTGACGCTGGCCGGTGCCGCTCCGGCAGCACTGACCGGCTCCAGCGCGTCCGAGGGCGCCGCCGACGCCGGCAACGACCACGCCATGTCCACCGTGTGTTCTACCTGGGGCGCGGCGTCCATCAACGCGCCGCGCAGCGAGCCCGAGATCCAGCGCAACATGGCCATCCTGAACGCGGAGGAGGCCGGCCGCCAGGCCATCCCCGTGTGCGTGGCCGTGCCCACCACGCCGCAGGGCTGCGTCGTGTGAGTGGCCGTCGTCCCGCGCGGCGTGTGGTGGCGGCGTGAGGCGCCTGCTATCAGTGTTGTTGTTTGTCGGGCTTCCCGGGCGGCCAGTGCTAATCGGTCAAGTCGCCTCGGTGCGTGGTGGCTGTTGGCCTGTTCGTGGCTTGAGTTGTGGGTCGCTCAGCTCTCAAAGTTTCCCAACCCCTCCCCCACCCCACTCGCATCCCGATTTTCCGCCAGTGCCCTGCGATTTCGGAACGATGGTTTTGATTTTTGCGCTATAAAATTTAAAAACCGCTGGTTATGAAGACAAAGCTATTATCAGATATGCATGTTGAGCTCATGATTTATTCAGACGCAGGAGGCTTTTCTTGACTTGTGTGCAAAATATGAGTTTGAAATACATCGCTTTCTAGCGCAAGAGCGTGATCAGCACGGCTATCTCAGTTGACCACCGCGTGCAGTGTTGACGTGCGAGGTCGGCGTGTCGGCAGGGTGTACGAGGAGGAGACGGAGACGGTGATGACCAGCTTCCCCGTCTACCGGATCCTGTTCTGCGCCGTGGGTCAGGCGGGGCGGCCCCGAGGAGCAGTGCTTCGGCTTCACCTGCTCACGCGGCGACGCCGAAGAGACGGCCATCTTCCAGTGTCACGTCTTCAAGTGCGCCGCCGCCCGTGCGGTGAGCTCCTGCGTCGGGCGGTGCGGCCGGCGGCGCCGGCCCCGGAGCCGCCGGCCTCGGTCGCCGCCGCTCCTGCGCGCCAGGCTGGCCAAAGCGCTCCCAATGTCAACAGCTCGGTGCGGAGCTCCCGCCTGCAGCGTGGTGATATGATGTGGATTGTGTGTCCATGGCCGCGCCTTTTCCTTCGATAAGCGGTAAACGTGTGATTGGATGGAACCGTATCTCTTTGTACAAGGGACGCCCCTTACCCTACCTCATGGCTGTCGCGCTTGCATGTGGGACGCCGCAGCGTGCTGTATTTGGTCACCTCGCCCGCCCTCGGCAAGCCATGGACTGTGGTAGCATCACTCACGCCGCACAGGCGGCTTGCCGGCGGTGGGTGCGGGCGCGCCAGCCGCAGGTATGCCTCCGCCGGACAGCGGGTGACGCCGGGCCGCACTCGCGCCCCCAGTCCGGTCGGGTGTTGGGCTGCTTCGCGCGCGCCTTCAGGAAGCAGTCGGCGGAGGGGGCGGCTGAGGACGGCGTGGACGTGGCGCCGCGCACCTGTCGCTACGACTTCGAGCTGTCCGTTGAGATGCAGGAGGAGGACGCCAAGGTGAGCGCGCCGCCGGTCGCCGTCAGGGCAGAGGCGGCCCGGTGCGCCTCCCAGCGGGCGGGTGCCGCTCGGCGGGGTCGGGGGCACGCGGCGACGCAGGCAAGGCTCGGGACGCGCCCCCTGGCAGCCAGTGTCGTATATGTCAGCTTAAAGCGCATATTGTGAAGGAACAGCATGCGGATGCACGTATCTCTGCAGCCAGTTGCCTCTGGTTTTCAGAGGTACGGAGGGTGATGTATTATTTCGGTGCCACGCCGTTGCAGTTATCATATATCTTTATTCCTGGTCAGGGGGTTTTGTGCCATCTGGTCGAAGCATCATGCCAAGATTCATGCTGTATTTCAGCATGTTTGTGAAAAGATGCCGCGTGGTAGGGAAGCCTTCAGCTTTGCCTCATGGCACCTGTGGATTTTTCTTCCATGCTTACGTAGTGGCGACTTTGACATGGAAAACATGTACGCTTGTGTTTTGTCTTTATAAATATTGTGATCTCGCCCTTATCCAGCTAATAAGAAACGTATTTAGACTTAAAACTTGTTTTGAGCAGATATAATATCCAGGTCAACATCCGATGCGCATCACAGACACAACCTCCCACCCCAGTCGGCCCCCTCGCAACGACGTCACGCCGGTCCTATCGGCGCTCAGGGCGTGTACGCGGCCATCCCGCGCGACAAGGGCGGCTTCAAGCTGCGCTGCAACACGCAGCGCAAGGTGCTGGTGTCGGTGCGGCAGACGAGCGACCTGCTGCCGCCGCTCACCGTCGAGCGCTGCTTCGGCCTGCTGGTGGCGCCCGGCAAGAACGTCAAACACGGCGACATGACGCTACTGGAGATGGTCAGTGGCGCCGGACGGGTCGCGGCGCGATGGCGATGTGGGCTGACCTGCTGCCGGGCAGGTACAGCGGCGTAAATTATGAGAAAATTGACTGATGAGGTGATGATTTATTGGATGAGATACAGGTATGCTGCTTGACTTGATGTGGTGGCTGGCACGTGTGCGTGCTGCTTGATGACATCTTCATATTCTTCATCATCGTCGTCATTATCATCGTGGTTATCAACAGCACTGTTATTATTATTATTGTTATTAGAATGTTATTATTCTGACTTATTATTAGTATGATGAGTGTTATGATTATTTTTACCTTTATTTTTATTGCTATTACCATTATTGTTATTACTATGAGCCGTATCAATAGTATTGCTATTTTTATTATTATCACACTCATGGCCACCATCGTCTTCCGGCGGTGGGACACTCATGTGTGTCCCTGTGCGCCTGGCTGACCGGTGCGAGCGTGTTGCCCGGCCCGACACGCTGGTGACCCGGCCCGGGCCGTGTCTGCTCCGCCAGCCCTCCATGGGCAGCGTGGTGGGTGATCGGCACTGCTACAGCGTGGTGGGCCTATGGGACGCAGGCGACCCGAACCTGACGCTGCTCAACCAGGAGACGCCCAAGGATCTGCCGCTCGTGATGTCGATCGGCGTCGACCTGGTCATTGGTGGGTGATACATGCTGACCTCGGGTCAGGGTGGGTGTGGGTGACCTGGTCATTGGTGGGTGACACATGCTGACCTCGGGTCAGGGTGGGTGTGGGTGACCTGGTCATTGGTGGGTGACACATGCTGACCTCGGGTCAGGGTGGGTGTGGGTGACCTGGTCATTGGTGGGTGATACATGCTGACCTTGGGTCGGGGTGGGTGTGGATAACCTGGTCATTGGTGGGCGATGCATGCTGACCTCGGGTCAGGGTGGGTGTGGGTGACCTGGTCATTGGTGGGTGGTACATGCTGACCTCGGGTCAGGGTGGGTGTGAGTAACCTGGCCATTAGGGTATGATACATGCTGACCTCGGGTCAGGGTGGGTGTGGGTGACCTGGCCATTGGTGGGTGACACCTGCTGACCTGGGGCCAGGGTGGGTGTGGGTAACTTGGTCATTGGTGGTAGCACGGCATCATCCTAGTTCAGGATGGGTGTGGGCAACTTGGTCATTGGTGGTAGCACTGCACTGTCCTAGGTCAGGCTGGGTGTGTTTGTGCGTGGCACCATTATGGGAGAAGCACTAAACTGCCCTCTGTTGGTGGGGTTGTCAGCTGACCTGCACATTGCATGTGCGCTCCCGACGGATCCCTGCGCCTGGCGTTGTGGGCCCCCTATATTCTGCTTGTCGATTCTACTTGGTAAATGTTGCATACATCAAGTGAGAACAAAGCAAACTGTGGAATGTTCATTGAGACTATTGGCTGTGCCATTAGTGGTATTGTTCACGCAACATTTCAGACAGTCACTTCCCCAGCCATCGTTTGGCGTTGGTTGGTTAGGTTCACTTGTTCGGTGCGAAGCCATGCGCGTGCGTCAGCCGGCCGATCCGGGCTTCTAGGCAGAATATCTGGTGGTCGCTCTCAGGGCCACAATGCTCGACCACGACCGAGCGAGCGGTGAACCGAAGCGTCGTGTGAACAGCAACACCGCTGATCAGGACTGTAGTCCGAGCCTTCCTTACAGGTGCTAACACATGTGAACGTTTGCGTGAAGCGGTGACTCAAAGATGTTATGTTGAGGCCCAGCGATCAACATTTCACTTCGCCCCCCCCCTCTCCCCGTGTGTGGGGAGGGTTGATTCTGACAGCCGGCTCTGTTCTTTTCAGAGGGCATCCACGAGCCGGTCAGGTTCCTCCTGGAGTCCCGGGTTCGGATCTACCCGCAGTCGGAGCGGTTTTGGTACTTCTCCACCAAAAAGCTTCTTCAGAAGTTCTCGCTGCTCGTTAAGAAGGCAAGCTTACGCCGTGGGGGTGACGGTGACCAGTGCGTTGGAGTATCGTTCATATGAGAAAACAGCGTACACGGACCACCGAAGTGTTTTTGAAAGCATTGCGAGACCCTGGGTTCGTACCGTATCTGCGTCGGTTTAACTTACGATGGCGCTAGAAAGCTCCTGAGGCTGTGCTACATTACACGTGCAGCAGTGGACGTGATACTGGCGGCCACCCGTCGTGTGGCTTGTATGTCGGTGTTTGATGGCACGCGATCACGCGAGCGTTTATTCGAGACTCAAAAGGCGAATATTCCGCGTTGTTGTATTGTTTCATAAATGTGACGTGGTTGAGAAAACGGACGCACCATCGCTGCCACGCCTCTGACTTATCTCGCAGACTGGGGAGCAGCTGGAATTCGAGAGGCTGGAGAACCTGGGCGAGATGGAGACATCCAGGAACATGCTGCTGAGCCTGAACCTGGCGAGCCTGCCCGGACTTGCGGGGCGGTCTCCAAGCGTCACCAGTCCCGGGTCGCCTGGCCAGGAGGAGAGCGGTAAGTCGGCCGGGTCAGTAGGAGAGCGGTAAGTCGCCTGGCCAGGAGGAGAGCGGTAAGTCGCCTGGCCATGGACTGTATACGACGCACACGGTCCGTGGCCTGGCCAGGGGGAGAGCGGTGAGTGGTCTGGAGAGTGACTGTATACGACGTACGCGGTCCATGGTCGGCCCAGGAGGAGAGCGGAAAGTCGTCTGGCCATGGACTATACACGACGTACACGGTCCATGGTCGGTCACAAGGGGAGTGGTACGTCGTCCAGTGTGCGGGGGTGGGGGGAGTGGGGAGTGATAAGCCGTCTGTTGCCCTGAAGCATTCATCGTGGTCAAATGAGCAATATCGGCTCTTCGTCCTCAAACTGTATAAGTAATTTGCTTAGGTGACGTGTGGGTAACAATCCTCGCAAAATACAGCGTGATACGTGAACATTTCCCAGAGGAAGGACTGGGCCCCAATGCAAATGTAAACTCGGGTTGTGATTTGCGATAATTTTGGGTGGTTCAGGGAGGGCATCGATTTAAAAATCCACATATTTGCCACGCCCCTCGCCGAAACATTACGATATGCTTACCAGCTTGTTGCCATACATTTGGTAGCAAACACGCAAACGTTGCAGGCTAATCAGGGTGTGGCTGAGACGAATCCGGGGTAGCTGAAGTCATGCTCATGAGGAGTTAAAGCAGAGAAGGCATGCCACTAAACATAAAAGCCTGGCGAAGATTGAGACAAGCAAATTGAAAAAGCGTTGCCAACAAGATCGCTCTGTACCTAACTGAAATCCAGCCCGGATGCAAGTCCAAGTGCCAGGTGCAATTCGCCTTGAATGATCTTAGTCCAGTAATGCATAGTGTGGGTCTTTTCCATATGGAATGATTGTTCTGCAGTTGCTTATAACATCGCGTGATTAGGGTCGCATGGAAACGGCCAGTGTCATCATTTCGTTTCTAGAACGCCGCTGGGTTTGCATGTGGTTTAAATGCGCGAGGGCTACAAAAAGCGGAACAGAAGGAAGGGAGAGTCACGAATTTGTTCACCAGGCTGTAAACACCCCGGCTGTTTACCCCGGCCGGGGGAAGAGGCAGACAAGAGAGTATCATGAAGCAAACGCGATGAGACGAAGGCCCCGTTGTCGCCGTCTTCACTCGCTCGCCGTACAACTACGGTCAGATCAGTCAGTGATAACCATTAATTTGTGTGCTTAATGGGCACCAACTCAGGTCATCCGAAGATATAAAAGTATGCTAGAAAAAGTGTATACACACTAGAGATCATGCAGCATTTATATAACTGAGGCGAAATATCTTTCTGTCGAAAGTCGAAACAATGTGCAATCGTCCATACAGCAGTTTTCGACAGGTAAGGATGTCGCCAGCTGTAGCGAACTGCAGAGCTCCCCTGTAACGATGTCGACCCTGGGGGGAAGGGGGGGGGGGGGGGGCAATGGGAGCAGATGGACTCAGCGCGGTCCGCCATATTTGTACCCGCGGACTTCTGAGTGGAATTCCGGCTCGACGACCCGTACCTACACTTGGTGACTGAGGTTAGCAGCTTCGTAAAGCAAGCCGACTCTGCCCAGGGGTGACCAGTCTGACCCAGATGCTGTTTTGTCGCCGGATTTGGGCATTTCATTTTGCATTTGGAGAATATCAAAGTGTTGTTTGATAAATGCTTGCGTTTTTGTTGTTTTTTGTTTGTTGCAAGTTTGGTGTGTAAAATTAAGGGGGTCCCTGTCACATCCAGGGGCTTATTTTTTAATCGGATTGGGGGGGAGGGTTCAGACTATCCCAACTGCATAGGATCTTACGCCATGTTTGTAGCCAATTCTCCTTACGTTGCGGCTATTGGTTAGCATGAGGGAGTGTCGCCGCGCGCGGAACTGCGAAAACTCCTTCGTGAACCGTTGTCACCTTCCTAGGCCACTTGTCAGACGTAGCCAAGGCTACACAAAATATCAGAGATGGTTTTCGCTTAAGTGCAGCACACCGCCGCACAGTGCCCTGGTGCGCTCAGTCCGCGAGGTGTAGGCCGCCTCGACTGCAGCTGCGCGTGAACGCCTGACCCGCCCGAACGCACGCCCGGTCCGCTGCGGGGCCTGCCGGATACAACGTGTTGTTTTCTATTCGGTTTCTGTTTTCTATTGCGTAAGCTGTTCTGTACGTTAGCGAGGGGCATTATTGACATGGTTAAGGCGGTAGTAATAGCCTTATTCACTGGAGAAAAACAAAACAGCAGGAGAATGGAGATATAGTTGGGCTGATATTTCGGCAACATGCCTTTATCGAAACAACAGCAGAAGTTGCACATTGCCAAAATATCAACTAAACTATATCTCCATTTTCCTATTTTGCTCTGAGGAATAAGGCTATTACTTCTGTCTTATCTGTGTTACTTTCGCGCTTAGTGTGTGTGTGTGTGTGTGTGTGCTGACAACACGCGTCCCCGTTACGTTGTTCTTACTGAGGCGAAACGCGCGACATGTGCAAACTCCCGTCTCCCACCGGTCACGTGTTTTTAAACACGCATGCCCCTGAAATACGGCCCATGCGGCTGGTCAGACGCGTTCACAAACGCGAGTTGTGTTCTCATCGCCAGCCGGGCGCGCATCAGTCACTGCCAGACGGCGAATCGCCCGAGGCTGTGTACGTGCTGTCACTGTTTGCAGTGACTCCGAGCAGCGCGGAACAATTGTCGCGCCTTGCGGCGGGTCGCGTCGTGGAATGTCGACTGGTGTCCCGACACCTAGCGCCTGGCGGCACCACTCGCCGGCGTGTCCGGCGGATTCTGTCGTCGCTGCGTTTGTCATCACCTGCGCTGCTGTTCATGGCTTCGTGTGCAAGCGAGCCACCCGGATGTCGGCACTTGGTGTCGATCGCTCCACAGGAGGGGGAATGCCCGCGTGACGGACGGGCTGTTGATAACATCGCCTTCAGGGCACGCCGACGACGCCAACACGACCGATACATTCCCGAGGTGTCCGAATGAGTAACAAACTAAGTGCTATGTGAGTGCTGCGCTCGAACGGGCCGCGTGGACGGGAGGATTTGTATGGGACATGTTACTACCTGAGCAGTTCAGTGTGTTGCTAGTGCCGTGGGCCCAGCGAGAGGCCGTCCTGCGACACATTGATCGGTACGGGAGAGTCTGGCGTCGCCTGCCGTCCCCGTACGGGTCAGGTCATAAGCTCCCGGGCCGACGGCGTCACTAGCTGTACCGCTCTCAAGGCCGCTGCCGCTGGGTGCGGCACGCGGGGTGCCGTCACGTCCGAGCTGCTCGGTGCTGACTGCTCGCCGTGTCTGGCGAGCAGGCTGGTCTGCTGGCTGTGACCGGCAGCGGGCGCTCAACATGGTCCGACCCGACCCGGCGCGACCCGGTCCGGCCTGACCCGGCCCGACCCGACCCGGCCTGACCCGGTTCGGCCCGAACCGAACCGAGCCGAGCCGAGCCGAGCCGAGCCGAGCCTAGCCGAGCCGAGCCCCGAGCCGAGCCCCGAGCCGAGCCCCGAGCCGAGCCGAGCCGAGCCGAGCCGAGCCGAGCCGAGCCGAGCCGAGCCGAGCCGAGCCGAGCCGAGCCGAGCCGAGCCGAGCCGAGCCGAGCCGAGCCGAGCCGAGCCGAGCCGAGCCGAGCCGAGCCGAGCCGAGCCGAGCCGAGCCGAGCCGAGCCGACCCGACTCGGCCAGTGCTCCTCCCGACTCCGTGGCAACACATGTTGTGCCGGTTCGCGGAAGGGGCCAATGATATTTGTTGCGACTGTCGCGTGCAACACCGCCGCCACTGCTGGACTGTTGATCACGGCGACGCCCCCGTCGCGCGTGGATCCATTGAGAAGGCAGCCGGTCGCCGCTGCGGGGTCTCATGCCAGCCGGGAGATTGAAAACACGCTTGCTGGCGGGTCGGAAGTGTGCGGCGCTACAAGTGAAGCCAGTTTAGCTGTGGTCTTGTCGCCCGGTGAGGGCGGCGCTCCGGTGTAATCACAGCGGCAAAACCCCGCATCTTGTGGCTGCTGTAGATTGGATCAGTTGAGATCAAACGGCTATGGTATTGGTGTTTGTGTTGTGCGCCCGCATACCACCTCTCGAATAGGTGCTGGCTTGGTAGACGGCGCGTGCGAGGATGGGTCGAGTTCGCAAGTTTTCCAGCAAAAGCTCCTCAGCGGCGACCTCTAGGACGAGGCTGAGGTGTGATGAAAGTGGATGTTCCGCATTTGTTTGGGGTTTTGGATTGAGATAGCCATTTTGAAGATCACTCAGTATGGCCCACAAATACTTTGAACCCTCTTGTTTCTGGGCTGGATGCCCGCGAACCTGTGCGGACTTTTTCGTGCAGTCTATTTTAAAGGTCACCCAGACATTCATGACGCCTTACAAACATCACGCAGATACTGCTACTGCATTTGTATTGGTGCCTGGCTTGCGTCAGCGCGATTCGTGAAATCAGTGGCCATAAATTGGCCGTCGACCATTTTAAGTACAAGTTTCGCCTTGAGTGGGAGTTAGAACGTAAGTCAGGTTGTGTGCTATATAAAACGGAAATTTGAGCGGTGGTACTAATTAAGACGAAACGGGAAGCGAATAACTTGGAAACAGCGCCATAGTCGAGTATGTGCAAGCAGTTTAACAATATGAAATTACGGGCAAATATACAAGGAACACCACGAGAAAGGGGCAAAACACGCGCACGGAACGATATTGGGGTTTCGCAAACTCGCGCCACCCCAACAGCTAGCACGCGCACCGGCAGTCATGCCGGTGAGCACGACGAACTACCGGGAAGAGAGATGTGCGCTCACACATTCACCTTTTCTATATGCCCATTTCTAAAAACCTGTTAAACGGCAGTCCTATGGGCAACAGTCAATCGAATGACTTAAGCGCCGATGGCAATTTCTGTGCATCATCCAGCGTTGTTATGAAGCAGTTGTTACAAGCGAAATATGAATGATGAGTTCGTGTTCGGCTAAGTTCACATTTTCTCGGGATTAAACAACTGCTCGTATGATCTTTGTCGTTTCTATTACCAACTTTTCGAGCCTGGTCTCACAGGATAGTTGATTGTACATCATATGCGACGATTTTTTGGTTGTTGATTTCTTCGTGGTGACACATGCTTATGAGGCATGGCTGCACGTCCTTTCCCTTTTCTTTCTACCCTCTCTGTGTGCGCTTCGGTGCAATCTCTCAGACGACTCGGTGCCGACCGTCTGCGTCGCCGCGCCTGTCCGAGCGCTGGCTCTCGTCCGCGCGGCTTAGTGGCGGCTCCGTTGCAGACAACGACGACCCGCTGCCGTCGGGCTCGGGCGAGGTCAGCAAGGACTGCGGCGAGGGCGAGCTGGCGCACTGGGGCGACGTCCTGGCCAAGTGGCGCCTCAACCTGGCGCAGCGGCCGCGCGGCCTCAGCGGTGCGTTCGGCGGCCGCCACGGCGCACGCGACCTCGCGCCGGACGCCCGTGACCTGCGCGTGAGGTGGCCGTTTGCCGACTTAATGAACACTACGAGAGTCATTGCCTTTGCAGTCGGCCATGTTTGCGGCGTGTCGGTGTGTAGAAGCACGGCTCACTTGTAGCTTATCTGGCCTGATATGCGCGGGTGTGCGCTGACCTGGCTCGACATGTCGGGTGTGCGCGGGTGTGGCCGACATGGCCCAACGCGCGCGCATGTGAGCCTGCCCCGACCGGGCGGCGCTGGTGGGGGCTGACCCCGGCTGATCCCGTGTCGGCAGGGCTGGTGAAGCGCGGCGTGCCGGAGGCGCTACGCGGCGAGGTGTGGCAGCTGCTGGCCCGCTGTCACGAGGATCAGGACATGCTGGACACGTACAAGATGCTCATCACCAAGGTGGGCGGGCCGTCGGCCGGTCGCCATGGCGCAGCCGGGCGGCACAGGCGCCGCCCGCCGGCTACAGACGCGACTAACTTCCACGGCAGCCGAGCTGGCGCGCGAAGAACGGGGATGCTGGCCGGTGCTGTATGCGCCAGCTGGGGTCACCACTGCCGTACTCGTTTGGATGCGACTTATTGGCTGCTATGTTTTCAATGTCACATTCACCTTGTTGCTGACATCTGGACGACCTGCGTCACCGCGAATTCGAGTTGCTGTTATGTACTTGTCGTTTGTGTGGAGTCTGAGGTTGAGCCAAGTTCATAAAGAACTGGTAAGATTCCTGTCTCCGGAACTTTCTCAGATGTGCTAACTAAGGTCTCTTGAAACTTGTCAACTGGGCTACTTCAAGACGTGCGCTGCGCGGTGCAAAACAGCAGATGATGGTTTACCGAAGGATTGATACGAGGTTTTAGTTTCACGAATGGACTATTTGTTCAGACTATCGTCCGTGTCCAATGTGGTAGTGTGTAAACAGTGATTCGGCCAGATGATTTTTTGGTTATCGTCGGGCGTTATTGACTCCTGAGAATGACTGGGTAATGTTTGGCTTTCGGTCATGAATGTGCTACAGCTCCAATGCTGGCCTTGGAATGGCTGGGATTCCAGTCGTGGTCTGCTAATTGTGAGCCTGGCGCTCCGCCAACCGATTCCTTACCTGTTAGATCAGTTGGTACAGCGCTGAGTTTGTAACCAGAAGACTCTGGCTCGAGGTACAGCAGTTATACAGCAGGAGAGCAGGAGAGCGCTGTGTACAGCAGGAGAGAACCCGAGCTGTGACACATGCAGGGCTGAAGCCACACGCCATCCAGCCCTGCTCAGGACTCATTAACGCCTGCCGACGGCCGGTTAATTAGTTGGCCGAGACATTGTGTGCATGCCTATTTACCAAACGAGTGCAAACAGTTCTTCCGTCCGGGGTTTCGCAGTACGTCAGATTCCCTTATCGCCACGTGCTCTAAACCGGCCAGCCCATCAGTTGTCATTGTCGATCAGCCAGAGCTCATATGTGCCTGCGGCGGGAGACGTTGTCTTTCGGCGGTTGGCAGCTTGGCGAGGATGTGACGACCGGCGACAGCTGTTTACTAAAGCCCCAGCGTCTGACGCGCGGGTCCGTGCCGGTGACCCCCAGGACTCCAGCTGGGAGACGGTCATCCAGAAGGACATCAACCGCACCTTCACCGGCCACGAGTACTTCCGCGAGGCCGGCGGCGTCGGCCAGGACTCGCTCTTCAAGATGTCCAAGGCGTACGCCGTGTACGACGCCGAGGTCGGCTACTGCCAGGGCCTCAGCTTCCTGGAGGCGGCGCTGCTTCTGCACGTGAGTTGGTCGTCGGACGCCGGCTGCTGCACACTCCGTGACCTGACGCGCACTGGGGCGGCGCGCTGTTCCAGTGCCGGCTGGAGTCGCGCGCGGTAGCGATGTGCGGCCGCTGGCCGGCCGTGTGTAGGGCGATGTCTTCGTCAGCCGATCGGTTTGGTACAGGTAGTGGTTTGGGGGAACGAGCAGTTCTATGTATTCGGGGACTCCACATGTACTGACTGGCCGCGCGTCCCAGCCGTTTGAACCAACGCTTTCGCAGCCTTGGTGTTATCTCAGCAAATCACAAAGCTCTGTGTCATCTGGCCATCCGGAAAGCTGATCTGTATATTATTTCGCGTCGTGTTGGACGCGTACTGAATCTAAGCTGCTGTGTTGATCGGGCCTGGCCGGCCGTCAACCTCCGGCGCCGGCGGCCTTCGTTACGCGGTCCGGTGACGGGTCCGGCTCTTCGTCCTGCTGTCGGCGGGATCCTGCCTTTCATCACGCCTCAGCGGCTGGCTCCGTTCGTCGGCGATGCGTGGCAGTCCCCGCCTTGCCGCCGCTTGGCGCCTTCCTTGCTCACGAGAGTGTCGGGATGCCCATCCAGGCTGATGCTGGTGTCTCGTCGTGTTGGGGATGGTTGCGTGCCGTTGTCTTCAGGCTTCGTGTCTGACTTGTCAGAGACGTGGCAGCATGCCAAACGTGTTCAGAAGGCGGTGGCCCTGTCCGTTCGATACCAGCTATCCAAATAGTCCTCACCTAGCGCCGGACGGTTTGCGAACGCGGGTCCCAGGCTGAGGCGGCGACGAGATCGTTATCAGCCACCTGATCCTGGTGCCAAGTCAGCGACGTCGTGTCAGTAGCTTCTCTTCCCCCGGCTGTCGCACTCCATTGGCGGCCATCACGGGTTCTCAGAGTTCTCGGGAGAGTGAGATCGACGGCATTTGTTCCTTCCTGTCTAAGGCGTTGGGCCGGTAGGTCTCTGTCAAAAGGAAAGCTTGGCTTGTGCGCTGCTGGTACGCAATGGACTCGCCCAGATAGGTCATTGCTATTTATTCCCGATGATTGAGGTGAGACGGTTCGGCTAAATACTGTCCGTGGCTCGGGATTGAAACTATTCAAAGCCTCCTGGCATATCTTTTTTCCCTTCAAATATCCGGTTTTCAGTTGGCTTTCGAATGATGTGTGCCGTTGGCTGAATGAATTGAATTGCGCCTCATGACAACGCATTTTACCCAGTTCGACAAACATATTTTAGATAAGTGTGCTCTTTAGCAGAGACTACAAGGATGTTTTTATGCTCATTTGGCAAAAGGGCCATTACAGAATGGAGGCATATTCGGCTTTATAGGATGTGGAATCTTGTACGAAAGCGATAAAAGAGTGCATTGACACCATGATCATACTGAGCCAGCTGCTCACAAGTCGTTGTCGTCGCCTTCCAGATTTGATACCGCGATGCTCTTCAGGTGACTCCGAACTTGTAGGGCCGACCAAATTTGTTGCTATAGCTACTGTACGTGGGAGAAACATCCGTTTCTGGGATTTGCCTGCGTGGGAGCGTAGAGACCGCCTTATTTTATCTTCACCTTCCATTCTGTGGGCTTTGGTGAAACAGTTGCTCCCTGGCAGATGAGGACTCCCACTTCCTGAGTTGTGAACATCTGCCATTCGCTTCTAACTTGGAGCACCTGATCTCTCTCATGCAGTTTTCCGCTGTCTCGCAGTCAAATGAAATCAAGTTGGGCCGTGAATTTAATAAGATCGCAAACTTCGAGTGCTACATGGTTCCAAATCTACTCTCAGCCGGTTGTCATTAGACGCTCCGAATGAGGAGTTCCCGCCCTGACTAAAGCGCTCGACTGATTGCGGCGGTGACTTCGGGCCGGATGTAATCGGTGGCGTCGGGCCGCGCGGCCCGCCGTCAGCGCGCCGGAGACAGCTGGCGCGTGCTGCTCGTCCCTGCCCTCGGTTCACGCCGTCGCACGTGACCCCTGACCCCTGTCCCCTGTCCCCAGATGCCTGAGGAGCAGGCGTTCTGCGTGCTGGTCCGCATCATGTTCCAGTACGGCCTGCGTGAGCTCTTCAAGGACGGCTTCGCCATCCTGCACCTGCGCTTCTACCAGCTGGACAGACTGCTGGAGGTGGGCCACTTCGGTCGGCGCGCGTTGTTTACGTTCGCCTTATCTGAGCGTCAGATGTAATCGGTTCGTATGTGCTGTCCACACGGACCTTGTGACCGATTTGTAGGTTACTCCTCGCGGGAGACTCACGCCGGGCTGCTGACGCCTGGTGTAGAGTGTGTTGTGACTGGTGACCTCGTCCCCGTAACCACCGAGCCCCTGACGCCTGGTGTAGAGTGTGTTGTGACTGGTGACCTCGTCCCCGTAACCACCGAGCCCCTGACGCCTGGTGTAGAGTGTGTTGTGACTGGTGACCTCGTCCCCGTAACCACCGAGCCCCTGACGCCTGGTGTAGAGTGTGTTGTGACTGGTGACCTCGTCCCCGTAACCACCGAGCCCCTGACGCCTGGTGTAGTGTGTTGTGAATGGTGACCTCGTCCCCGTGACCACCGGGCCCGGCCCCTGACGCCTGGTGTAGAGTGTGTTGTGACTGGTGACCTCGTCCCCGTGACCACCGGGCCCGGCCCCTGACGCCTGGTGTAGAGTGTGTTGTGACTGGTGACCTCGTCCCCGTGACCACCGAGCCCCTGACGCCTGGTGTAGTGTGTTGTGAATGGTGACCTCGTCCCCGTGACCACCGGGCCCGGCCCTTGACGCCTGGTGTAGAGTGTGTTGTGACTGGTGACCTCGTCCCCGTGACCGTCGCGCCTCTGGGCCCGGCACGAGCCGTGCCGGCGCTGACGCAGGCCGGCGCACCGACAGGAGCACCTGCCCGAGCTGTGGAGCCACTTCGCCGAGCTGGGCGTCGAGTCGCACATGTTCGCCTCGCAGTGGTTTCTCACGCTCTACACGGCCAAGTTCCCACTGTACTTGGTGTTCAACGTGCTGGACGTCTTCCTCCTGAAGGACATGGACTGGATCTTCCAGGTGGCCATAGCTCTGCTGCAGGTGGGTGCTGACTTGGGCGCGGCCGTGTCCGCAGCTGGTAGGGTGAGCGGGCTAGGCGTTCGCTGTGGTGCAGCACCGGTGCGCCACTCAGGCCACCCCAGCGAGAGCCTTCTGTCAAGCCCTGCTTCACTGTTGTGGTGCTGGCACACGTTCAGTGGGCACTCCTCGACATGATGCGTTCGTGGACGATGTTTTCAGTCGCGGCATCTGAGCTTTTTTCATCAGGTTTGCGTTGCTGTGCAATGTAAGAATGGCTCCACCGCATCTGCCGTAACTTCTTCCAGAGCTGAGAGTCTTGGCATCAGGTTTGTATGGCTCATGCGCTTTGATAAACAACGTGCGTTCACGGTAATCTGTCTGTCCATGAAAGCAGCTGTAGTGTGTCGTGTATCTCCGGCGGCCGGCTGTCCGGTTGGGTGCGCGGGAGGGGCATGCCGCTCCCCATCCTGAGCCTCATCTGGGCCGGCCAGGTGTGCGCGAAGACGAAGGTCCCCATACCCATCCCATGCTCGTGCCCGGCCAGGTGTCCAAGAAGGACCTGCTCGGCCTGGACTTCGAGGGGCACACTCAAGTTCTTCCGCGTCTCGCTGCCGAAGCGGTACCGCAACGAGGAGAACGCGCGCCAGCTGGTGAAGACGGCCGTGGCCACCAAGGTCAAGAAGCTGCGGAAGTACGAGAAGGAGTACCTGGCCATCAAAGGTGAGACGGAGGCGCGAAGTGAGCGTGATCTCCGCGCGTCGGCGGCACCTGGCGCTGAACGGGACCGCAGCGTCTCGAGCAGTCGGCGCGCTCGCGTGGGAACTGTGTGTGTGTAACGTGCTGCGCCGGCAGGGGATGTCATCTGGCTTCCCGGGGACGGTCCGGGTCCTACAGAGTAGGCGTGGTGTGGTACTGAAGGAGAGACACTTGTCCGGGCCATGAAGTGGTACAGAAGCTCCCGAAGTTGGCACGGTATGACATCAAGGTGATGCGTATGGATCTTGAGCTAGACGATCGCGCAGCGTTATCGAAGGACGGCGTTCTGTTACAGCCGATGTAAACGCTGAGTCACGCTCGTCATGAGAATGTCCTGCGACAGCCGCGGAAGTGTCTGACCGTCGCGCGGCCGGCCCACAGAGCAGGAGCGGCTGCGGGAGGACCCGGCCGACCGCCTGCAACGCGAGAACCGCAAGCTGCTGGCGGCCAACCTGCGCCTCGAGCACGAGAATGACGACCTGGCCATGGAGCTGGTGGCCAGCAAGATCCAGCTGCGTCGCAACCTGGACGTGGTTGAGGTCCACCGCACCTCCGCCCCGCCTTACGGGTCGGCGGAGCGCGAGCGTCGGGGCCTGTGTCAGCCACGTGCTGCGCGGCAGGACCAGTACGCGCCTTCCTTGCGATGTGGGTGCCTGGTCAGTCATGTCTGCGGGATGCGTCTGTCCCTTCCCTCCACTCGCTGTCCTCTTTTCGAAATGATCTGGCTAAGAGGAGTGGCTTCCTGAGGTGGTCCCGCGTCAGCTGTCTCCGGGGACGCGCCGAATGACCGGGGGTGCTGCCGCCGCGCCGCGCGCGCCTGACTGACGCGGCGGCGCCCCGGCCCCGGCAGACGGAGGAGCAGTGCGAGAAGATCTCCCGCGAGCTGGTCACCTCGCAGACCCGGCTGGCCGATACGGAGGAGGAGAAAGCGACGCCTGCTGGACGAGTCGTGTCAGGTCAGGCGTTTTAGGTGTCATGCGCGTCGTGAGCTGCGTCAAGCGTATCAGGTTAGATGTGTCGCCAATCCGCATTGGTGGTATCAGTATATCACATGGGTCGCTGCAGCCTAGTGCGCTTAATCAGGTATATCACACGGGTCGCTGCAGCCTAGGGCGCGTTTATCAGGCCTGTCATGTGTCGTCATCAGGTGAGGTCAGTGTGTCGTAAGGGTGTCAGACGTATCAAGCAGACGAACCGTGTCGGTCGTGTCAGGCAGTTCATCCGAATCGTGTTAGTCTTGTCGTGTGTGGCGGACGAATCGTGTTGGCTGTGTGTGGCCGACGCGCGGCGCCCCAGCCCGGCCGCCGGTGCCCAGCCCTGCCGCTTCGGACCGCGTCGGCCCCGCCCGCTGAGGTGGCGCCGCGCGTGGGGCCCGCCGGCTGCGGCGGCAGCGAGGCGGGTCGCGGACCCCTCCGGCCGCCGGCCGTGCGCGACAGGTGAAGGAGCTGCTGAACGGGAGGTGCAGAAGAGCGAGTCGGAGCTGCAGGTAACGCCTCCATCATCGACGACTACAAGCAGTGAGGCGATCCGGGCGTGTGAGGAGGCTGGTCGGCCCGGCGAGACCGTCTGACGCTGGTGGGAGCGTCCGTTGTATCGTGGGTCAGCAAATGGTGGCGGGGACGCGTGCGGTGGCGTGGGTGCTGATGGTGTTTTGCCCTGCTCTCCTCAGATCTGCTCCCAGCTGAGCGCGCGGCTGGAAAAGGAGCAGGCGGCTCGCTCCAACAGCGAGATCTCCAGTTCATGAAGGTCGTGTGCACGGTGCAGTCTCCTCCGAGAGTGGGTGAAGCAACGCCACAACACCGGCGTCCAGGCGGCGACTGCGGCCGGCCGGCGTCCGACCTGACCGACCGGTGCTGGCGAGTCCGCGTGACGGTCGCGGACGTGACGGGGGCGTCGCCGCGGGCCGGCGTGACGCTCGTGATGTGCGGCCGGCAGGGTCTCGTCACCACCGCCTGTCAGTCGTGCTCGGTCAAGTACGCGTCCGGACGGCGGTGCAGCACCCGCTGGCGCGATCTCTGCGAGGAGGACCCGGTGCGGGCCCGGGACGCGCGCATCCGGAGCTCGAGCTCGAGCTGGCCCGCACCAAGCTGGCTCAGGTGGAGGTGGAGTGCAAGAACCAGGTGAGTGGGTCCGCGCTGACCCATCGCCACCCGGCCCAGGCCTGGTGTTCGGGTTGTGGAGCCTCCGAGTCCACAAACATTTGATGGGTGTGGCGTGCACGGCCGGCTGCGTCGACTTTTGCCGCTATGACCGGTATGCTGTATGGGAGCGCTGAAGGCCGTATGTGAGTCGTGTTTGTCGTGAATGTGATGGGTGTTCGTCGCAATGTGGCTATTATATCGTTGGCATATTTTCTTAAATTTTGGGGTATTGTAAGTATTTGCATTCGTATTATCACTCCTCGCTATTAAAAGGGCGAACATCCGCCAGATTACACATTCGCTTGATCGGCGGTCGGCCAATACGGCATAAAATGTGTATAAACGGCAGTCTTGAGGTAACGTATCCACCGCTGCTCAGTGATGCGGGCTGTGTACCGATGACAGGTGAGGGAAATGCCACGGACCAGCCGCGGACCGTTTTTTCTTCTTCGTGCTGGCCTTCCGCCAGGTCTATCAGTGGCCATCCCATAATTGAAAGGGTGACATTTATTGCCGCTGTTTGGTCCCATGTTCTGACGGACGAGTAGGGCATGTACTTCTCTGTGTGCGACTCACAAGGTTAGGTGTACGCCGAGCATCGTGCGGAGCTATCGCCGGACTCTTCTGTTCTCTCCGCTCTGGGCGGAGTTATTGTCGGGCCGGGGCGGACAGCACTCGCCTCCCGTGCGGCGGACGGCACTCGCCTCCCTGGCGGCGGACGGGACTCGCCTCCCGTTCGGCGGACGGCACTCGCCTCCCGTGCGGCGGACGGCACTCGCTTCCCGTGCGGCGGACGGCACTCGCCTCCCGTGCGGCGGACGACACTCGCCTCCCGTGCGGTGGACGGCACTCGCCTCCCGGGCGGAGGGCACTCACCTCCCGTGCGGACGGCACTCACCTCCCGTGCGAACGGCACTCACCCCCGTGCGGCGGACGGCACTCGCTTCCCGTGCGGCGGACAGCACTCGCATCTCGTGCGGACGGCACTCACCTCTCGTGCGGACGGCACTCGCATCTCGTGCGGACGGCACTCACCTCCCGTGCATACGGGACTCACCTCCCGTGCGGACGGGACTCACCTCCCGTGCGGACGGCACTCACCTCCCGTGCGGACGGCACTCACCTCCCGTGGCGGGGCGACCGCGGAGGATCAGCACCCGGCATGCCTATCCTAGCAGCGGTCCAGCCAGGCGCCCCCAGTTCAGTCGACACTGTCGGGAGACTCGAGCCGCAGCCGAAGCTCGAAGCTCAGCAGCTGGCAGCTGCGGCACGTAAAGCCCGGCTATGGTGAGCTCGCGCAGCTCCATGGCACACGGCGCAACGGTGCCGAATACTCCCGTCTAAATAACAACCACGTCCGCAGTGGCGTGGCCGCGAGACGGCTTACCAACACACACGCACGGCGCAGGACCGCGTGAGTAGTGTTTGTTCTGCGAGTCCGTGCTGGATCCCCCCCCCCCCTCTGTACTGCCCCGACCGTGCGCACTGCGTGCTCTGGTGATAGCGGTTTCCACAAGGCCGGTGACTGGTCGGTTCGGGCCTCCAGGGCTCGGGACAGTTGGTCCAAAGGAGCGTTCAATATATCCGGCAGATATCTTGGGCGCGTGGGCAGATATAGAACAGCAGACGGGCTCATTT